AACCTGCCTCCGGATGTGGATCACTTGCCTGTTTTTCTAGTTCCACTTAGCCTGATTATCATTAAGTACAGCCCTAAGAGGTTTACTTGCGACATTTTTCTGGCGTCCAGTAAGGCGCAAACAAATACGCGCTCGCACTAGAGCATGATCTGAATCTAACCATGTGCCAGATATATTGTTTAGTCAGGCATATAACTTCCTGCGCTGGCTGTCAATCAGTCACAACGTGAAACCTGGCACATACGTACGCCAGTTCGAGTTTACAAACCCTATCAGCGTACAGATGAGACTTTAAGACTAGATACCATAATAGGAGTGGTAGCAGCATCAGCGGTATAAGAAAAAATTAGGGGTCAAAGAGGAAACTCAAAATATAAATTAGTGGAATAATAGCAAGAAAGCTTGAGGAATCCAGGAGCTTAGAATCTGAGGGGAGAAAAAAATGGATCCACTAGAGTCATCGTAAACGCTTTTGAAACATGATTATGCGTATACTCTGACAAGCATTATAGCTAATACTTGTACTAATCTCTACGACTATGGAATTCGAACTGACAATTGCGTCTCTGTGCTAACGTGGTATGACAACCTGAACACATGTACGTACGAACGAAGTTCTACGTTGTAATTGATTGACTGACAAGCATAAGTATCTGATATAGAAATTCGAATATTCAGAAGCTATCATATGGAAATATGGTGCCACGTCCGGAAATATGAACTTCTTGGGTGGGATTCGCTTGATAGTGAAAACTTTTGCCCCGTGATCTTCAACAACTCTAAAGAGATCGCAATGGTGCAGGTTCAGTCATTTTACAAATTTTCCTGAACTCCACTTTACAACTAGTTTATACTTATTTCCAGAGTTTAAAAGGTTTAGTAGTGTTGAAGATTGTGAAGATGGGCTGATGCACTGCGATGTTCATGAACAATATAAATAAAGGTATACTCTCAATAACAGAATTATTTGACGTACTGATTGAGGTCAAAGAAATCAGCTTACTATCCCGCAAACAATCAATTACATAATTAGTTGTAATTACGGGGTTTACTATAACTACTAAGCCGAAAACAATGAAAGGCTAAAGCAACCTATATATCATGGGACATGAGCCACTTTTTTAATCATAAAATGCCGACAGATAATCAAGAAAACTAGTGATAAAAGAAGCACGACTAAAGTTTTCTACGAAAAGTGCGGAACAACATCACTACGATACACCAATCTTCGAAGGAATACCGGGTAACTTAGGACGAGCACATTCATAAATACATACCTGAGTGATGGGGCGTGCACAGCCCATCCAAAGTCAGACAGCTTTAGTTCTTGATGAAAACCGATGAGTAGATTTTCAGGTTTGATATCCCGATGGATTACTTTCATCCGGTGGCAGTAGATTAGTGCATCGCACAGCTGGTATATGTACTGACAAATTAATTCAAAAAAGTAAGAACATACTGTAGCTGAACGTGCCTCGCTAAAGCGTCCGAGTCTCCGCAGCTCAGTATACATTTGCCCTAAGAAGGCATATTCAAGAACTAAATAAATTCTCTTGTGATCATGGAAATATGTGTAAAGTTGAAGAATGTGAGGATGTTGCAGATGACACATAATCTCTATTTCACGTCTAATTTGGTGCTCTAATTTGTTTTTCACGATTTGTTTTTTAAATATAACCTAAAGAATTGATGTAATATTGGTAAACATACTTTTATTGCACATGGGAAATGTGATTTTTTTGTTCTAGCAAGGAAAACAGTTCCGAACTTTCCACGACCGAGCTGCTTTCCTATATCGAAGTCAGACAGGACACTCACACTACGCGAAACTTCCATCTCAAATCCTTAGGCTCAATGCAAGCGCTGAGGCATATGAATTTAATTGCTAACGCGAACAAACAAATCAAGGTTACAGATCGTAAAGACATTGTTCGTGAACATCTTACGACTGACTTTAACTGGTGTTAGTAAGTCCACATTTTGCTAAATATAACTAGTCAGTCCTCAGAACATTTGGATCAAGTCTAGGCAACGCAGTTTTCTGAAAGGTTTGAAGTAAAGTTCCAGTTAGAAAATCTGAAAAAAGGAAACGAGCAGAAAACATGGCTACTCAGTAAGCATGCAGGATGCCTTTGCACTTTATAATTACAATAGTCTACTACGTTTAAATATATGTAGGCACTGGAATACCGAACCTTAAAATAGAAGTGAGACATTTGTGATGTTCGATTCTGAATCTACTAAAATTTCTTCATGAAAGCGGTTTTGGTTATTGGGAAGTAAATTATTTGATTAAAACTTTCAATATAGGCTGTGTAGCACATTGGAAAGAAGTAATGATTTTAGTCCCAGTTATCGAAGTGACTGGAATGCTTATTTCATAATCGTACATTGTGTTCGGATATGTGTCTCCTTTTTCCCATTTCTTCGTTTACTGGAATCTGGTTTGCCTTCCCTCACAACAAGTCAGTGGCTGGGTAACGTTTGTGGATCATCTTGCGTAGATAACTGTTCTTTAATTCCAGTAACTTTCTGATCACGGTTATCTTAATTCTGCGATTTTCAGCTCCTCATATCAGAACTTTCCTAATGTATGTATTGAAAATTCGGACTTTGCTGTTAGTTAACACTTGTTCTGAGCTCCCGATGTTCCTCAGTTATATGCATGTTGGCCCAGCTTTGCCAAACCATGTCTTCACATCTGTGTCAGATACACTCTGTTTATCCATATATGTAAACGTTTCCATATCTTTCAATGCCTCCTTGTCAGGTGTGCTTTTGTGGCTGTTCACTGCGTTGTAATTCAGGAACTTGCTTTTTCGGTATGGAATTTAAAATATTCTTAGTAAATAGGCTCAGCCAAACAAGCATGATGCTCAACAACAAGTTTGAAGTCGTACAGAATTCACCATGGCGAATATGCGGAAAGGATTCAAAGATTATCAATTTAGAAGTATAGTGGAGATTTTAGTTTTGATCTTAGAGGACTTTGGTTACCTGGCATTGATTGTTATAATAGTTTCTAGATGATTTCATTCTTTTAGCTTGTATTGTTGAACAAACACTATTTCTGTTTCTAATTAATTATAGCATAATCACACAAATCACAGCTAGCTGTTTAAAATATAAATATTTCCGTTTTTCACTCCTCAGAATATTTGTATCTAATGTTGTAATCTCGATTTACTCATAAATATGATGCATTAGGTAAATCAGCCGAAAAAGTTATTCTGCATGCCTTCGACGTTGATGATGACTTCATTTGTTGTTCCAGACACATACATCCCTTCTAGTTCACAATTGTTTAGGCAGTACTTCTCATCCCCTCATTCTTACTAAGCAGCTTAGGTAATTGGCCTCTCAGCACTTTAAGTATCCTTCAGATAAATAATTTATCTTCTTCACTCCTGACTTCTTGATTCAATGGGTTTAAGCATCCTAGGTTCGAAAACTGTCACGGACAAAACCGCTGTCAAACTATGAACATCCATGGCATATTCGATTTTATCCTAAAACATTCACTTTTACCATCCTTACGGCTTGCTTTTTAGATCTTTGTCTTCAGAAATGTGAATGTGACAGACGTTTATGAAATGTACTATTATTCTAGACAAAATGAATAGTATGTTTGGAAGGATTCATAATTAGATTAACTGTTTCGAGCTCAAAATTTCAGTTTCCTCATGGTTTTCTGGAAAACCTGTGAATTCGCCGAATATTTCTGTCCTAGTTTAACTAGTCAGAAATTTTACGATACCAGCAGCATAACTGTTGTCTGGTACAAAAACAGCTATATAGATCTTTCACTTTCTCGTCAGAGATTTAAGACAAAAGAACATACCGTGAGACTGGAGACTGCAAATCTCAATAAGTTATCAGAGAAAGTAGATTATATTAAGTTGGACAACTACCGAGGAATGGTCAGCAGTTAAAATTTGCCAAATAAACGTCTTTCAGGTATAGAATATTGAAGATAAATACTTATTAGCTACTTTCAACAATCTTGCTGGACCTAGCCTTACAAATGTTGTATTTACGCTTAGCGTAAGTCATTTCTATCCTATCAAATTACGTTTGAATGAACTCTGTTCATTGGGTATGAATCCTAATTTTTAAACTATGTCACTGACATCCAAAAGGTATTTTATTTCGCCCAAGTTTATGACACATGTAAAAGATCTAGATCTGCCACTAAAGTGAACAAAATAAAGCCATGTAAGAACAGTAAACGGTCTGTATCATAGTCGGACCTCTGTACAAGCACACTAGATTTGTACCATGAACTCAGGCACGATCTTTCAATTCGCTACAGCCGCCTGCCCCACCAATCTAGCATGTAAAACTGCCTGATCACTGCCACTACTCAAGACGCTACTAAGGTTTAAAAGTCAACCCAAAATGTTCCAGGAATCAGGAAGTACCATTCAAACACACTTCTCTTAACAGTAACCGAAAGCTTTTCCCCATCCCTAAATTTACACAAATACGAACTCTCTCCTTCGAAATAAATAATGGGTAGGGCGGGTTGTGTAACTGACCAGAAATCATGACGGTAAGGTGATAACCACCCATGCTTTTGGGATAGAATATTTTGTCCGACTGAACGAATACAGGTATAAAGTCTATTCGCCAACTTCCCCCTCTCCTCTACATGACATAACAAACAGCCCATCAGATGAACATTACGCCTCTATAATAGACGGATAGTCATTCTGCTGACACAAATGTTAGTAGATGCCCGATTTGTACTCAGTAAGAAAACTCATCCGGGCTCGCGGTTAATTTCAAACAACCCTTCACTTGTACTGATAATGGAAAGTTGGTTGTCTTCTGATGTCCCTAACTCATACCTCGTTGTAAACGAGTCTCTAAAACGGATGTTGGTTGTTTCATCTGTGCAGCCAGAAGCATTAAGACAGAGTGTCCTTAACAAAAGGCCTGCTTAGATGTGGTTTACTGTACAGGCTCATGAATATAAATTAGTAACTGAATGTATATGTAGGGCTCTAAACACTCATCGGTCGATTGAAGCTACCACTGGCGAATCAATCGCTGGCACTAGGCTCTCTACTAAGTGTTTTCCTAAAACCTTTGTCGTCTGCTTGAAAAACGCATACAGAATAATGAAAACTACCACATTAACTCTATACTGCATAGTTGAGAGATGTATAATACCCAGACTGTCATCTCTGAACTTCTTCGCTCATGGTCCTCCATCAGTGAGATCATATCTCTTACCTTAGATATTTTTATTGCCTTTATCGGCAGGAATAATATCAATACCACTAACTTTGATCCAATAATATTCACGTCGCATTTAAAACCCACAAAACCAATGTCGGTTCTGGTACGGATGACATGCCATGGATACTCTTAAAAATAGCAGGACCAGATATGCCAACAACATCAATAAACATATTTAAATTAGTCTTAGAGACTAGTGAATTCCCCAATGAGTGGTACGTGACATGTCCCTAAACACAAAATAGGGCCGAAAAACCTATTACAAAACTACAGATCAGTTTGTATTGCCCTTGTTCTTGCACAGGTAATGGGAAAATTGATAAAAGGTCTGGTGTCTTATTACTTACGCAGTAAGGGTCTTGTCGATTTCTTGCAACACGGTTTCATTAGAACCTGGTTACGCACTAAGTGCCGGGTAGATTTCTCGCATAAAGTTACCGGCATTCGCAGCCAAAGGCATCAAGTGATCTGGTTGTAGTTGATGTAATGAAAGCTTTCTGTAAGGTACCACATTATCCCTCAGTCAACAAGTTTCCGTCCTTTGGATTAGATCTTTCTCACAAATCGATACAAAACATCTAAAACTAACTCTAAAACGTCTAGATCTCTACCTATAGCCAATAGAGTTGTGCACATCAGCGTTTTCAGTCCGCTTCCCTTAATAATCTACAGCAATCTCATATGAAGTTGCTGAAATAACGGCAAGACCTACCTGTAGGCTCATGACTTAAAATTCATTCAACAATCTAAAGTTTTTGATGTGGGAAGTATATTGAAGACGATTCAGTACGAATTCAATCATTTAGGCATTGGAACTTAGAACTCAGTACCCAGAAATGCGGCCGGCCGCATTTCGATAACACATCTGCTGAAATAAATATCATACTCAGCATGAACATACTGTTCAAACTTGCGCCATTAATTGACTTCGAAGTGCATTACTCGCACAACCTAAACTTTCACGAAAATACTTCCAACGAAGTATCCCGAGTGGGAAAACTGCCAGGTTTTATTTTTCGTGACTTCCTTCATAATGAATCTAAGGGATATGTGTAGAGCCAGTTTCCGAAAACTGTTTGTTCGTATTTCGCAACTTACTCCAATCTAATATGATGTTGGTTTAAGGAATACAAAGGCATCTCACTCTCTCATCGACTATCCAACCCGATTTCATACCCTTGAACTTGACTCACTCTAGAAAAGAAGGCTCAAGTCCAATCTAGTTCTTTTCTTCAAGTGCCTTCGCAAATTCACGCACGCCTCTTATAATGTAGTCTTCATCCCTGGCCCATCTATATGCGTACGTCTATGTCATAAAGTATCTGTGAACAAACTTGAGAAATAGAAACAAAAAATCATTCAGCATTAACTAATTTGGAACTGCATTCCCTTAAAAACACTAATGCCAGATGGGCTTCATAAGTTAGTCAAGTTTCTTAATGTAATCCTCATTTGCAAGGGTTCCGTAGCACGTCTAAACTCATCTGTAACCTGTTCATACATGATTGGCCCTCAATACGTCTAACCATATCGGATTCAAAGCCTCGTTTCATTTTTTTCCTTTTCTTTAGAGTGGTATAAAATTCTTCTGTTTGGCTATATATACTTCTTGAATTTTCACTTGAAACAAAAAACTCACTGCGT